CCCCTGCTTCGGCAGGAGGGTTGGACTAGATGACCCACAGAGGTCCCTTCCAACCCCCACCATTCTGTGATTCTGTGATTCTGTGAGATACGGCTCGTGCCAGAGCCCAGGAGTGCCAGCTCAGTCCAAGAGGACACCCAAACCCGGCCTGAGGCCTGAAAGCTTCTTTTTTATGGCAACTCTGAGCATGGCTGCGTGGCAATCACTTGGGGCAGCTAAATGCTGGGGGACGTTTCTCTGTCCTGCTTTGGGGCCCCCCACTACCTAGCTCTAAGAGAGCCCACAAGGACATCTGCTCCACTCCTCTCAGCAGATCCTACTCCAGTAAGTGCAAAATGCACTGTGTGTCCTGCAGACTTGTATCACCCAGACCCCACGCCCTTACCACAGTGACGGTCGAGACGTCATGCGCACACTCCTCAGGAGCAAACACTGGATGCCTGTTTTTCACAGCCAGGCTCTCATCCGCATGTTCAATGAGGGAAAGGCTTTCGGAACAGCTTGTGGAGGAAGGCTCCTCCTCCCCGTAGGGCAGCTCCCCTGAAGAAGACGATACCGTGCTATCGACAACACCAGGAGTCCCATCAGCATCAGTCTGAGAGTCTGCAGCATTCTCCTCTGGGCGGAAGGGTCCCTGCCAACGTGTGCTGCGATCCAGAGAGCTGCTGGGAGTCTGGTCAGGGTCTGAGCGAGAGTCTGCAGGGCACGTCTCCAAGCCAAAACTGTCCTCACCATCATCACTCAGCTCAAGGAAGTCCCCAGTGCTGGTTATTGAGACATACTTCTTGGGGTTGCTGTGCTCCACCACCTTCCTCGTGCTGCTCAGGAGCTTGCTGGGTTTGCTGTAGAAGAGAGCCACCCACATATGAAGTATCAGCTTCATCTCTTCCACGTCGTCGGGCAGGTCAGGATCCCAGGGCCTGGAGAAAAGCAAACACACCCTGAAAACATCTTCATCCTCTCTCCAGCTGACTAGCACAAGGTAACTCATCTGGTTCCCCACAGCGCTAAGCCCCAATGCAGGAAGGCTGCCAATGCCCAGCTGCAGACACAGATCACTTGATGTGGTTTCCAGCTTGTTGACAAAAAGAGAAACTCACAGCTGCAAATGAGGACTTTGGTTCGTGGCTCTGGGTACCAACTGTAGCTGCAGAGCCACAGGAATCACAGAATGATTTGGGTTAGGAGGGACATTTAAAGACCATCTAGTCCAAAATTCCCCTGACGCTGGGGAAGATGCCAGGGACATCTTGAGGAGCTGCTGGAGAGAGTCCAGCGGAGGGCTATAAGGATGGTGAGGGGACTGGAGCATCTCTCCTACGAGGACAGGCTGAGGGAGCTGGGCTTGTTCAGCCTGGAGAAGAGAAGGCTCAGAGGGGACCTAATAAATGCTTATAAATATCTCAAGGGTGGGTGTCAGGAGGATGGGGCCAGACTCTTTTCAGTGGTGCCCAGCGACAGGACAAGGGGCAATGGGCACAAACTGAAGCAGAGGAAGCTCCAGCTGAACATGAGGAAGAACTTCTTCCCTCTGAGGGTGACGGAGCCCTGGCCCAGGCTGCCCAGGGAGGCTGTGGAGTCTCCTTCTCTGGAGATATTCCAGCCCCGCCTGGAC